AAGAATATAGCCTTCTCGCCTAACGACACCATGCAAATCAAGTTTTTGGCGACCATTATGGGTTGTTAAAAGTTATGAAGGTAGTTATGAGGAGCAATTGAGGGAATTTTTAGCGCATAAGCGGTTCTTGAATGTTGAAGAATAAAAAAACTTAACACTTTACAAGAAGGGTTAACATCTAACTATTAGAGATGATAACTATGTTTTTCGACTGTGCATTAAGACCTGAAATCACAATGTTTACATCACACAAAGCCCAATTTTAGAAAGAATTCATTGATTACTTACATTTCAATAATAACTTTCTGATTTTTTTCAGAAGTAGAATACTCTATATTAACAATAGCTTGCAAGTGAATCTCTGTACAACCAATATTTCGATTGTGCTCCAACATACACTTCAAATCATCTCCATTATCAACTGAAAAACTCAGGTTCGGGTGCCTCTTAGATTTATACATCGATGATAAAGCATCTTGAGGTACTTTCAGTCTTTCAGACACATCAAATTTCAGTTTAAAAAAGCTTGTTTTAGAACTTAGCATCAATAATATTCTCGCCTAATGACACCATGCAAATCAAGTTTTTGGCGGCCATTGAGGGTTGTTGAAAGTTATGAGGACAGTTATGAGGAGTAATTGAGGGGGGGTTTTAGCGCATAAGTGGTTGTTAAAGGTTATGAGGACAGTTATGAGGAGTAATTAAGGGGATTTTTAGCACATACGGGGTTGTTTAAAGTTGAAGAATAAAAACCCTAATTTCATAAATGAGAGAGTGAGAGATAAAACTATACAATATATAACCCATGATGAAGCCGACTTGTAATGGAGGGAACCCACGCTTTCCCCCCGCTTTTCGCCGTCGATTCGCATTAACTGCGATGGGAGAGATCACCGGATTGAGGGGTCAATGAGACGATTTTCTAGGTGAGAGAAGATGGCATTTTCGGTAGGGTTGTGAAAATACACAGAGTATATGTATAAAAGTGAGATTTTGGGGTTGTGCCACACTTTTTACTCTCTTTTGAGGCTAAAGAGTAAGGGAAATAGTTGCTAGGGATGGGCCACATCCACATTATTTTTTTGAAGGCCTTGACACATTTTCCCAAAATTTTAACTAAAATCTATTAATATTTTTATTAAATGAATTGTTATATACATATTGTGATTCTCTCTTATTTTAAAGTAAGTATGATAAATGTAGAAATTACAATATAGATCAATTATAGATGATTTTATTAGTCTAACCACAAACTTAAGTAGTTCAAAAAAATATTGTAACCTTAATATTGGAAATCCAATGTAAAAGGATAAATTTCCTTTAGAGTTATTAAAATATTATTCATTATTATCACGAGAGATGGGTGTCCGAGCGGAAGGGCCCACTTGAAGGCACAAAATAAACGCAGCGAGCCCTTGTGAGGTGTCGAGTTGGAAGATGCAGAGCACGTGGGTCATAAAGGCCCAACGAAGGAAATGCTTTTAGATTCGGCTGTACAGTGGTAACTGGGCCAGCTCATGTCCACAACAACAGAACATAGGCACAAGCCGCACAAGACTTTGCCCTCTAAATTAAATAGATTTCTACTAAAAATTAACGTACTCGTTAATAATAATAATAACTTGAGAAAAAATATTAATGTGCTCTTACATATACAATATCGTATAAACTTATCCAGTGAATTTGTTATTCTAATATGACATTAATATTAATATTACTTTAAGTTCCAAGTACCTTGATGGAGCTACTATGCGAATAATATCTAAATCTTTATTTTAAGTAATGATAACTACTCTACATACTCCAACTTGCTCTTGTAATATAAAAAAACAAAAATGTGGGGTCTATTGACGCTCATTAGTTCTTTTTAAAACAATTCACAAGGAAAGACACCACAATTTATTTCTTTTAGCACAAGGATAGTAAGGTGTTTGCAACTATTATACTCCATTTCCACTTCTTGGCGGGTTTATTACTCATTTTTAGAGCATATGATAAAATAAAGTGGGATTAACTATTTTATGAAAATTTCTTCTCTTAGATTGCAGGATGAGTAAATTTCTTTGTTATCAAGTCATTTAAAGCTTGTATCTTTTTTATTCTGCTCTATGTCGACACTTTGCTTTTTAAAAACAAAACTGATGTCGAAAAATACTCATCACCACTGAACTTTTACCTTCAAAATAATAAGTAGTCGTAATAAATATTCTATGTTTTTAAAACATAGCTCCTTAGCCAAGTACTTCAAACTTTGGCATGTTAACCCAACTAACTCATAATTGGTTTTATACATTTCTAACTACCATGATATTCTAGATAAACTTAACCACTTCATAGTTTGATTGTTCGTTACGGTAACTTCATTCATTAAATACGGTAAGGAAAAAAAAATGCCATTCTACTAAGAAACTTTGCTGTATTAGGAACCTTAAATTTCCATGCATTTTATTCATTTTCTCGATCGTGAAGATTTAAATAGACTCAAGGATCGTATTGAAAATATATTAATTTTTTATTGGATATTTCCATGTGTGATTTTAACATTTTGTCTTCCAGAGAAATAGTGATGTTTAAAGCCTTAAAATATTAATGATTTAAGATCAATTGGTAATTTGAATGTATAATTTTAAAATATTAATGATGTAAGGGACCAATACAAAAAAACCTATTATTATTAATAATAAATAAATTCTTGAATTCATTAAGGAAAATGGTAGGTTTTATCTAGTCATTAAGGATTTTGTTCAGTTATAAAAAAATTACTTCCACCTGTTGATTATCTAGAGATTGAATATTACAGATATTAAAGAATTTTTGTTTATCTAGCGATTGAGTATTACAGATATTCAAGAATTTTTTTTCTAAAATTTTCTAAGTAAGAATGTGCAAATTCAATCAAGAAAGAAAATATAAATTATGTGATCAATTCCAAAATCTGATGTTGTACTTCTTCAAAAGCGTTTTTTGTACAAATCACATAGCGAAGTAACTATGTCAAGAAAGAAAATATAAATCATGTAACTTAATACATATAAGAAAGTATAAATCATGTAACTTAATACATTTTTTTAATTAAATTTCTTTCTTCAAGAGGGTATTTTGTCCAAATCACATAGCGAAGTAACTATGTCAAGAAAGAAAATATAAATCATGTAACTTAATACATATTTTTAATTACATTTCTTTCTTCAAGAGGGTATTTTGTCCAAATTACATACTGCAGTAACTATGTTAAGGGGGTTTGTTGATAGAAGCGTAAAATATTAGGAGAGTTTTTATGAGATATGTTATAGTTGAGAGGTGTTTTCTAAAATTGCACCAAAATTAAAATGAGTCATCTATAACACCCCACATAATGAGGGGGTTTACTCAAATTGAATCAGTTGAGTGGGTTTTTTTAAGACAATGCCCATAGTTGAAAGGGTTTTTAAAAAAACAATACTTCTTTTAAATATGACTTCTTTATAATTGTCCCTCAAAATTTTAATAATTTAATATTAGTCCCTAAAATTATGAGCAATTTCAAAAATTTGTGGGAATAATATAGAATCATTGGTTATTTAAAATAAATGAACTAATATCTAAATAACATTTATATATTTGCTCTGATAGACATTCTATTAAATATCTATCAATATATTGCTATATCAGTCAATATATCGGATTAAAGACTTCATCTCGATAATATTTTATATTATTTTCTTTTGTTTGTTGATTTTTTTGATATATCGACCGTTATCGAAAATAGGCCGATGTATCCCTTTGAAGATATTGAGAAAATCATTTCATTTTTAATTTGATTGTGGGCTAGGGTTTAGATCGTGTTTGGGAAACAAAATCGGAACCCGCAAAACCAACAAATGTCACAATTCTTCTCCCAAATCTCTTCACTCTAGGCTCTCCCAAATCTTAGACATGTATCTTAATGCAAATTCTTATCTTTAAAATTCATTAATATTTTGGATTACATATTACAATGTCATGTTATGTATGAATATTATCTCATATGAAACAAAGTATTACATATATATCCCTAATTTTTGCAACCCGATAACATGAGTTTTATTTTTTTTCAATTTTTATTTGATATCCAACACTCTTTAGTAGTCCTTCAAAGGCCTCTTCTAAAGTTTTCTAAGTGAAGTATATAATTTCAAAAAATAATTCAAAATATTGACTCATTCAAAATATGATGCTTTAATTTTTCCATATCATTTCTATTATATAAATATAAGCTAAGCATCTGACCTCATATTGTATGATGAATATTATTTATCAATGGGATCGTATACTATTATTTGTGGATAACAAAGGTTTCAAATCTTTTGTAGGCTTAATTGAACTTAAATACCTTAGTTTACCAAAATTATACTTATATACCTTCACTTGTATCTTGCTGCACTTTCTTTTTCCTAATGTTTCATGGTATAGTTTTAAGACAATTCTATATTTTCTACTCTTTCCATAAATACTTTATTAACATACAATTATCTATTAGTATATTATTATACATTACTAATAATTAAATATGATGTAGAGTTTTATAATAACGCTAGAAGTTCTAGGGACCAAATTATGCAAACTTAAAATGTCATAATATAATTAATTAACAATGATAATTAATTTAGTTTAGTTAATATTATAATATAATATCAAAAATGAATAGCAGTAATATAGTCCTTAAAAAAATTCCACACCTCCCTCTTTTAAAAGGGGTATAATTATGACTATTTCACTAGAATAACTATCTTAAAGCAATATCATCATTACTAAGAACAAGGTAAATTGGTACAAGAGAACAAAAGGCTCTAAAAGTTTGTCACCATAAGCCCAGGATTGAACAGAAGTCCATTGATGAATAAAACTAGTCACAGCTTTCATGGATCAAAACTTCAGGTCATCATATCATAATCATCTCAGTCCATCACCTTCCTCTTAGATATATAAATAGATTCAAGATGGCAATCTGATCGTACTTATTTTCTCTCTATAACTGCATATTTTGCTGAAATAATTATCTTAAAGCAATATTATCATGAGAAAACTGTGAACTGAAATATATCAATACAATAAAACAAAAATGTTTCACAAAAACCTCAGGATTGAGCACAAGCCCAATGATGAAAGAAAGTACTCATCTGAGTCATCTCTCATACATCAAAATATCAGTTCATCATATCATAGTCATCCAGCCTCTGATTATACTCCATCACCTTCCTCTTGATCTTCGACGAATCCACCCAAGTAACAAAATCTTCCATGTTTCTTGTAACCAAGAAAGCTGGATCTGTGACGGTATCCGGACCTACACGCACATGACCCTGCTCGATATATGTCACTGCTTCCTTCAGATGCTCAGCAAACTTGAGGCGCACCAAAACAGACGATAATCTTCGCCTGCACCATAAAATTACCAATGATGTCATCATCAAAGTAATGCTGCAATTGCAAACTTAAACAAGCTCCTCCCAACCAGTTGGCTCACTAATTTTAGAGCCTAAGGACACATTGCGGTTTTCATGCATAGCTTAGATACTAGGGCCTTAGGAAAAAACATTCAATTCTGACCAAGAAACAAGTACCAAATAAGCAACAGGGGGTTGTTTGGTTTGCGGTTTTCATGCATAGCTTAGATACTAGGGCCTTAGGATCTCAGATCTAAGGAGAAAAAACATTCAAGTCTGACCAAGAAACAAGTAACAAATAAGCTACAGGGGGTTGTTTGGTTTGTTGCAGGGATTTCCTCTGTAGTTATGTACAACTTATATATTTTGGAACAGTTGCAACAATTTGTTTCACTACGACTAAGCAATACAGTTGCAACTACAATTACAAAAACAACCTCCAATTGCAACTAATTTGTGTATGTTGCAAGTACAATTATTTGAGCTACAAATGGGGCTCATGTTGCAAGTTCAATTGCAATAGACCCCCAATAGAAAGTCCAAAAGACCTGATACTACAAAACAAACACCTGCAACTAAAATTGTAGCTATAAACTGTAAAGAAAGTAAAATTGAATCAACAATTAACAATTGCAACTGCAACTAATTGAAACAGTAGTGCAGCAATTGTAGTTGCGCACTGTAATTACATTGCAGCAAACATAACATCTCTAAATTCAGCTGGGTATTTTGCCATTAATGCCTGGTTTCTGTAATTTTCGGGCTTGGATCGGAAACAGTTTTATGCTTGTAAATGTTCTCAATTTTGAGGTGCATTTGAGATCCAAAATATATCCAATATATTCTTGAGTGGGAGATATGTTATTTCAATCAAATCTAAGGTATCATAGATTTACCATATACATTCCCCTAACATTAAACTTCCTAATTGAGATATGTTATTTCAATCAAATCTAAGAAATCACAGATTTACAGTATAATTCCCACTAACATTAAACTTCCTAATTGGATATCAAAATCCTACGCAACTAACACCAAAATTTCCACCTTGTGTTTTTTAAATCATGTCTTACTTCTCACTGAGAAATTAAACAAATATTGACTGCGAAGGTAACATACTGTAACAAACAAAAAGCTAAAACTGACTCAACAGTTAAGGACTATGATTTTGCTGCAAAATAAACTATATTGGCTAAGAGCTGCAGCACAAACAACACAAAGAATTAAACATATAGCTATATAAGCAATTACACCTTCTGGTCTTTCAACCCCACATTCAATTATTAGAACCAGTAAAAAAAATGCACTGGAGTGTTCCTTCATTTCAATCAATAATACCATGGCAATCAATGAGAATTAAGAGCAAGTTAATATTATTGCTTTTATTAGACAAGGTCATATAGAAGCACCCAAAGGTAGAACAGTGGAGTGGTTATTATTTATTAATAGTCAATATAATTGCTAACCCCGTTGGATGATGGATCTGAAAAATGCACTAGCAACAAATATAAGCCATGTCCATGTCCTTCATAAGGGGAAAAAAGGCCACGACCTTCACCTACAGTTGTTCAAAACTATAAGGTCTTTCTAACTTCGCTACAGAATTAGCAACCTATTACTTGTCAAGAGGATATAACTATAAACTGAATAAATAATTCGAACTGACAGTTTCTCATGATGCAAGCTTACCTGCAGAAGGAGCTAACTGACAGTTTCTCACAAGTTACCAAGCTGCTCTTTGTTGGTATGACACCCATATTGTAGCTGGAACACAATAAATTTAGTCAGAAATAGCAAGAAGAAAAGATTTATGCAACTATAAATTAAAGAGATCATAAAGCATTATGATGAACGAAATGCAAAACATAGACAAGCAGTGTAAAATTTCCACAATGAAGTATCATTTTGTCAAATAAGAAAAATAAGGCTCTAATGGCTTGATTACTTATAAAGAAGCAGCAGCAGCAGCATTATCCTATGAATACTACGCTTAACATCACTAAAATTTAGGAAATAAAACCAACTCCATGAGCAGAGTACACAAAGCACATTTACCACCTTATATAAACAGCAAGCACATTCACCACAAAAACGTATGTCCTAGAAACTAGGTAGCATGGATATGGGTGTGCACACAGACATGGACACGGATACAGGAGACGGCAAATTTGTAAAATGTAGGCTACGGGGATTACACCTAGAGTGTAACTAAGTTGCAACCGCCTATAAAAGTACATGTTTGAGCTTTAATATATATATATATATATTACACCTAGAGTGTAACTAAGTTGCAACCGCCTATAAAAGTACATGTTTGAGCTTTAATATATATATATATATATTACACCTAGAGTGTAACTAAGTTGCAACCGCCTATAAAAGTACATGTTTGAGCTTTAATATATATATATATATATTACACCTAGAGTGTAACTAAGTTGCAACCGCCTATAAAAGTACATGTTTGAGCTTTAATATATATATATATATATTACACCTAGAGTGTAACTAAGTTGCAACCGCCTATAAAAGTACATGTTTGAGCTTTAATATATATATATATATATTACACCTAGAGTGTAACTAAGTTGCAACCGCCTATAAAAGTACATGTTTGAGCTTTAATATATATGTAACTAAGTTGCAACCGCCTATAAAAGTACATGTTTGAGCTTTAATATATATGTAACTAAGTTGCAACCGCCTATAAAAGTACATGTTTGAGCTTTAATATATATGTAACTAAGTTGCAACCGCCTATAAAAGTACATATATATATTACACCTAGAGTGTAACTAAGTTGCAACCGCCTATAAAAGTACATGTTTGAGCTTTAATATATATGTAACTAAGTTGCAACCGCCTATAAAAGTACATGTTTGAGCTTTAATATATATATATATATATTACACCTAGAGTGTAACTAAGTTGCAACCGCCTATAAAAGTACATGTTTGAGCTTTAATATTAATGACCAACATCATTCATTGTGATCTGTGTTCAAAACATTATGGAGATCAAAAATCACATTGATAAGGTATTTCTAGTTTATAGATCTAATGGCCTAGAAATGAACGGTTTGTAACGGTCTAAAATTCCCGTTATTTTGAGTTGCTTGAAATATAGGATAGAAAACCCCAAACCATATGATTTTTTATCTACACTCATTTGACATGTAAATCACAATGAACAATGTTGATCGTTAATATCGATGGTCAAATATATATTTTTAAAGATAGATGTAACTAAGTTAGTTACACCCTAGGTGTATTGTAACATATATATTTATAGGAGAGCTAGCAGCTGAGGAAAAATCTACACAGCCGCCACGTGTCGCTGTCCAGTTGGTTAGGTGTGTATAGCATTTAACGGCATATAAATAGAAACAATGGCCAGCAAATATACAAATCCTAATCCCTAACACCGTGTCTCCATCCTCTTCCTTCTCTGAAACGCAAAAACCTAATAAACCTCATGCAGTTCATCCTCTCCTCTCTCAAAGTTCTGAAAAATCCTTCTATTGATTTTGCTGATTATTCACAAGAAAACTTAGAAAAATAATTCCAAACAAGCCTCAAGTCTTCAAGAGTAATTCAAAATATCATAGAAATTATAACTATCATCCTCAGATTCCTATTGAACTGTTTTGCAATAAAGCTTATAATCCTTAGATTATAGAAGATTGTGATTACATTAGTAAAAGCTATAGTCCTTTACATATAATGCATCTGGGTGCTCATTAAATTCAGATAATCAATATATCCTTCAATCTACAGTGAACCTTTCGCTCTCATGTCAAACGTTTTCTCTATAAATAAATATCAGGGATTGATACTTAATAAATTGGGGGGAAATAATTCTTATATAATTCAACAAAAATTGCATAAAATTGAAAGTCGCAATCTTGTAAAAAAAATTTCACTCATCAAAATCGAAACATACAGCTTCCCAAGCAACATATCGGTCATCTCAATGCGATAGGGATCTCTCGGATCCATCTGCTTCAATGTGTTGACTAGTTTCTGAACCATCTTGCATATTGTCGAGTACCTAACACCAACAAACAAAATCAAACAAAGAAATTCAAAACAAAACTGAAATTAACAGAAAAAAGAGGGGAACAACGAGATTACTTCTTGTAATCGTCTCTCTCGGTGAGATGATAGCGTCGGGTGATTAGGGCTTCTCGATGTCCGCCTTCTCTTTTGTACTCGATGAAATTTACCTTCTTTAAGAGCTTCTTCTCATGGAATTTTAATTTCCTCATGATTGAAAACCCTAGAAATGTTGAGAGCGGGGATTGAAGGAGGTGATGATTTTAGCGTTTGGGGTTCAGGGTTACAGTGGTTTGGTTTTAAAGGGTCCGATTAACCGGTATCCGTATCCGAGAAGGCCTGGCCCAATTAAGAGTGTCTCTGGGTCCATCATTTGCGTTATTGGTGGCCTGGGCTTGCATTTTTTCTTCGGAATGTTGATAAAATAGCACCTGCCTTTAGGGGCTGCTCGGTTCAAATACTAAAACTTAATGATAAGGAATCTCAATCAAGAAAATAAATCCCAAATTTTTTATGCAGAATTTCTAATTTAGTTTTTGGTTCAAAAAATTTCTAAGAAAATAAATCATAGAATTTGTAATATCTAATTTAGTTCAAACCCAAGAAATTAGGACGCCAAAATTATAGAAATATTTTTCACCCATGGGAATTAAGTGGGATCAGACGTGGAGGGAGTTTTTCCCCATATCCATCGAAATCCTCTCCAAAATATAAGATTTGGGACATCCAAAAAATTAGTTGCTTTTTGGGTTTTTGTAGAAATGTTTTTTTTTTAAAGTTTGTAACAAACGAAGGATATGCCAAAAGCATCACTTTTTTATCCTATCCTATTATGCCAAAAGTACCACTTTTTATCCTAGAATTCATTTTCCACCCCAAATTCTATAAAATTTAGCAAACCGAATAGTAGCAGATAAGTTAAAGAATTTATGTGAAGTTTTCGGTCAAAAAGATTCACAAATGGATTCGAGATGATGGAACAACCATTCCCTTTTATTGATCTCTCTGAAGGAAAACAATAAATAAATAATAATATAGTGTCTTTTACTTACACTGGAGATTCTGAGAAGCTGTGTCGGTAGAGACTAGACGTCGGCTCTGTAGACTGTACAGGCAAAATAGCACCTTTCTTTGAATTGTCTTAATGAGATCAAATAGGGCTGCTTGCAGGGACTTAGATATGAAGGATGAGCTTTGTTGTTGAGGGTTCGCCTCGATAGGACACTAGAACGATTGCTAGTAACGATTAGGAATCAATCACTAGGTGATCGAAGATGAACGGAGCTCACAAGATGAACTATCACCCTATGCGGTTTGAGCTTGGGATGGTCCGGGACGAGGTAGAAAAGAGTAATGACATCGTTAATGCTCTCCTTCTCTCTCTAAATCTCTTAGTGTATTTCTCCTCTCTCTCTCTCTCTCTCTCTCTCTCTCTCTCTCTCTCTCTCTCTCTCTCCCCCCCCCCCCCCCCCCCCCCCCCCCCCCCCTCTCCTCTCCTCTTTTGCATTAAGTGCAAAGAAATATTTATGATATTTTCCTTGGACTGCACATGGGGTTCGTCTGCATGCAATTGGGTCCGTGCTACGTGTTAACTCCATTGTCATTTGCAACCATCCTGTCACATCTATCCCTTCACTAGACCTTTATTAAATGCATTGTGGGTGTGAGATCATGTGGATCTTTCTTGCCATGATGATCACCACCTTTAGTCATTTCATATTAAATATGACGTGGCTCCAACCTCTTGCATCGTAGGTGAACAATCATCATTATCATTCTTTTTGTCCAGTCGATGCACTATATTGCCACCGCCCAACCCACTGTGAGCAATTTGAGCGATATACTAGGTTCGGTTAGTGGGGGTCTTGGAACAATGTGCCTTGATTTGCATGCATTACCTGTCTGTCAAAGTCAATGCGTTTACTGAGTATTGTTTGTGATTAGATAACTAAGGGAAAGATCAAATCGTGTTAGCGATATCCTTTCTTATGTATGGTCTGCAGGGTCTAGGTCTATAGGGTAGCTCTATGCCTATCTTTGATTGGTCTAGTAACTAAACTGCATGACATTAGTTACGTGAGTTCCAACCTAGATGATGACCCAACTAATCGAGTCAGTTCTTGCTAAGAGTTTCTGGTCCAAGTTGAGAAGGCATCTTCGGGTCGGACTTTGATGAAAGCCTAATTTTGAGTTGAAAGGTGTCTTCGAGTCTTTCTTCGATCTTTGGCTTCTTTAGTCCTCCAACTTTCCTACTTCTTGTGGTTCATTGTTGGGTACCATTCATCAACTTGACTGATTTGTACTTTTTGACCGCCTACAAGAGCCCCTTCAATCTTTCAGGAAGCGCTAAGTCTAGATGCCCAAAAATTTGGAACAGGTGGTTTTTTGGAAGTGTTCATCACTAGATGTGTACGAAGGGACTCAGTAGTTTAGGAGGTGGTTCGACAGCTTGATTGATGATCGTCTCCAAAGAGGTGTGCTATGGAACATTCTGAGATCTGACCCTATTTGGCATGACTCACTTGTGGAGTAGGTCTTTCGAGCCAGTTGGCTATCGGTTAGGGGCAAACTGAGGAGCTTGATGATGTTATTTGGGTAACAACTTCCATAGGCATACTAATAAGCTTTGGGGGCACTCATCCTAGAAGAGGTGTATTATGGAATATTACAAGACCTGACCACATTTGACATGACTCACATGTGGAGTCGATCATTCAAATCAGATGTTATCATTCAGAGGCATACTGAGGACCTAACGATGTCATCTGAATAGAAACTTTCACAAGCATACTGATAAGATTGATAGGCACTTGTCTTAGAAGAGGTGTATTTGTGAGACATTCTGAAGCCTGACCCTAAGCATGACTCATGTGCTATATGTTGTGATCTGAGAAGAGAGAGATATTTTTGCAACCTAAAAAAAAAAGGACTTAGGTCGAGCTAGTAATGATGTTGTCTGAGTTGAAATGACTATTCATATTCCCATCATTTTAATTGCCCACTTAGCCATGTCTTGGGTAACATGATCACGGCACATGGCAATTGTTGGTTGGACCTTCCTTTGTATAATAGAGGACAAGTGGTATCTACTTGTTATGTGTAGCCTTCTTCTTCTTCTTCTTTTTCTATTCTTTGTTCCCTCTCCTCGAGTATCGTTAAGGATGTCAAACGCTAGCGATGGACTCTTTAAATGTCCATGCCGATCACCAGCACTTGGGATGATGCTTGTCTCTATTCATCCGGAGAAGATGCTATAGGAAAAGGTCCGTGACATGGAGGTCAAAGTTGATCGCCTCCGTGCCATCATGAAGATGTTTTAGGACAACTATGAGACCTTCTGTGATAATGAACATTTAGTCATCACAGAGTCCTAATCCTCTAGCTCTTTCATAGAACATGAGAGCTCCGCTCATATGGTAGGAAACCCTGAAGATCTTATGAAGAGACTTGATGAGCAGCAAGCCATGCTCAAGGCACAGTAGTAGGCCATCGATAAACTCTAGGTCTTAATGGCTCAAATTGTCGCAGACAGGGCTAAGTCCCAAAAAACAAATTCACCACCCCAGCGCAAATCTTCCCGAAGAGGAGGATCATCTTTATCCCGACCTGTTACATCGAAGGGAAAGGAAAAGGTGAACGAGAGTGAGATCTGATCAAGAAGCTCACAAGTTGGAATCTTCCTCTAAAGAAGGAAGAGATGCCGAGAATGAGCAAAATTCTCAGTCGGCTAAAATGCAAGAACTGGAAGCCCATCTCAATGTTATTACTAATAAACGCGAGCTCCAAGATGAGGGAGTTGTCAGACCCTATCCTGCCGAATGAGATACAATCCCTTATCCTCCAAAGTTCAAAGTCTCAACTCTGGAAGCTTTTGACGGCACGAGATCACCGAACCGACAAATCTATTATTTCAAGTCACAGACTGGGAATGTGCTAGCAAATGATTCCATGATAACTTGGTTGTTCATTGGCACCCTCAAGGGGATGCCTTTGAATGGTTCATAAAACTGCCTGTGGGATGTATCCAGAAGTAGGAAGATTTAGAGAGACTCTTCCTGTTAAGATCCTTTGAAGACGACATAGAGGTCTCCGTCACTATCCTCCTTTCCACTAAGAAGAAGGAGGGAGAGCCCATCAAAGCCTTCATCAAAAGGTTCTGAAATGTGGCTCTTCGATGTCCGATAGGTATGACACACTCTACATTGCTAAAAACCTATTGACACAATTTACAAATCAAGCTCCTAGCCCAAATAGGGGTTACATAATGTCGTTCTTGGAAACAGCTTGTCTCTCAAGGCGAAAAGGCTAAAAAAGTTATTGTCAGGTTCAAAGCTAAAAACAAGGCAGAGAATAGTGACCACCAACATGGTATCAGTCCAACTCTGTAGTTCTCCACCAGTTCAAGCTCCAATCGGTGTGATCCCAATCCCTAAAAGGGAGTTACACCTAATAAACACTGACCCACATGCTCAGAAAGATAAAGGGTTAGTACCCCCTTGCTACTCCGAAATGTATGATATTAACTTGACGACCAGCAGTGGACAAGTGTGTTAGAAAAAGCCAGGAGAAAGAATGCCTAACCTTGGTATTTTCCTGGATGCTCATGACGAGACTGTCTTTATTGAATTGTCGTCTTGTAAAAGGGCTTGTACTGTTATCGTAGTACAAGATGTGATTCATGCCTCAAAAGGTTGTTAAAGGACAAGCCCTGACAGATTTCTTAACTGACCATTTAGCACCAGATTCTCCTAAGATGGAGTGGGGGTTGGATCTTTTAAGTTAGCATGTTCAACAAAACACCTCTGTCAACTGCAAAAATAATCCCCAATGGAGTTAATCCCAAATGGGAATGACCCTTCATAGTAGAGTCAGTCTACTCGAGTGGAGCTTGCTGTTTCATTAATCAAAAAGGTGATAGGCTCATGATATCAATTAATGAGAAATTTATTAAGAAATATTACCTATGTAAATCATGAAGCTCCCTTCTTCCTCTGCTAAGTCTTAGTCAAGTCTGGGGGTTGATTATTTGTTATTTCTCAAACAGAATAACGAATTCTCAAAACATCAAGTTAACAAAACACCTCTGACAGTAGAAGCACTTCAGCGTGCATCACTACCATAATCAACTTATCAATCCTCTTCAATAGGATGATAAGTCCACAAAGTTACTCAAATCGTAACACAATTCTATCAAGTTAACATCATACCTCTAACACAATCAACTTATCAATCCTCTTCAGTAGGATGATAAGTCCACAAAGTTGCTCAAATCGCAACACA